TGTATAGATTATGTATTTTTTTTTTTTAATTAATTCCATAGCATCAACAGATAGATTATAAATAAATTTGTAATATAGAACTTATGTGCAGAAATTTGTAATATAGAACTTATGCACATCAATAGCCAATAGGTGAATTCAAGCTATTGCACACACCAATTTTTCCAAAACACTGCATTATCACAAGCACCATGTCGCATGAGTGTACATGAGTGTATGTAAGCGCATTTGTCGTACTGAAGAACCACAACTGATAACTAATAGGGCTAAATTGCAAAAACTAGCCAGTAACTTAGACGGGTTGGCAGTTTTACCCACCATCTTTCGATTTTGGCAATAATAGTCAAAACGTTTTGAAAAATCGGTCTTTCTACTCAAATCCGGCCAAACTCGTCGGAACTCCGCCCGAGGTCACAAAACATGCCAGCGTGGACTGCACGTGGATGAATTAATCCACCTCAGCTATACCGACTGTAAATACACCGTCCACGCGTTTTCTCCTTCATCTTTCTCACAAAAATCGGCCAAAAATCGAACAAAAAAGAAAAGCTCCAAACATCAACCCTAGATTTCCAAAGCTTTCTCGTTCGGTACAAGATTGAAGAAATTCGACTTAAGAGTGAAGCTCTAACGAGATGTCTTACAACACAGATAATCCAAATTGTACTTGTGGGTTGAGAGCTGAGATTCGTACTTCGTGGAAAACTCCCAATTGTGGAAGAAGATTTTTCTCGTGTCTCCATTGGCCTGTAAGTCATACAAGATTTAAGAGTTTTAGGCGAATAAGTGCTTTGTAAATTAATTTGATTTTTATTTTTATTTATTTATTTATTTTATTTTTGCTGGAATTCAGGGAGGAGGATGCAAGTTTTTTGGATGGGTCGATCCTCCTCTTTGTGCCCGTGCTCAACAAATAATTCCTGGGTTGCTCAGGAGATTGAATGAAATAGAAGAATCGAGTAAGAGTGCTGACATTGAAAAATTCGAGGTTCTGAAGTTTGATGAAGAAAACAAGAAATTGAAGAAACTCAATTTTCAGTCTGAAGAAAAAAACAAGAAGTTGAAGAAACTCAATTTTGAGTTTGAAGAAGAAAACAAGAAACTAAAGGCAGAAATTCTGAAATTGAAGTATGAGAGTGCAAAAAAAACAAGACTTCTAAGGATGTTAGTAGCATTATTGATAATTTGGAGTTTGGTGTTTTTCTTTTGTGGTTCTCAGACAGATGATGAAAAGATGGTGAATAATTGATATTAGGTTGATGCATATTTGTAATGTTGTTGACATTGTTGTATTTGGATGTAACTTGATCTTGTAATGGCACAACATGTTGTATTTGGATGTCACTTGATCTTGTAATGGCATAACAAATGTTAGTTTGTGTCATATTTGTGGGTAGTCTGTTGACCATTTTTTACAGTTTAACTGCAGCTTTGCCTGAAATACATGTAGCACAAAAATGTGCACACAAACTGTATGAACATAAAGATCATAACAAATTAATTACCAAATCCAACACAAAATCCAACAAATCCAGCACAAAACCCCTTATAATCCATAACAAACTACACAGTGCATACCAAATCCAACAAATTAGAATTCCTTACAAGACCATAACAAATTCATTACCAAATCCAACACAAAATGTATGAACATAAATTGTACACAAATTTTTACAACATCATAATAATTCCTTAGAACTCATATCAAAAACCATAACAAATCCATTACAAAATCCACAAAAACTACCAACCAAATCAGCCCATTATCAACCAGTACAAAAGATCTAAGCAAATCCAAAGTTCAAAAGATCTCTTAAGCAGTTCAGATTTCTAATATTATCCATAACAAACCAGTACAAAATCCCTAACAACCCATTATCAACCTAGTTCAACAGACACAAATTCACTTGTCATTGCCATGACCTTTTTTGTTAAGTACCAAGTACTTTTTCCGCTTATCAACTACAACCTTTTCATGAGCTAATGTAATGCTGCTTCCCACAAAAAAAACAGTTTTCTCTCCAGTAAATGTAGGAGGCCCTCTGATTTGAACTCCATGTGTGGCTTTTGTAGGCTGCACTGGGTTTCCTCTGACTAACTGCTCATACATGGATGGTCCAGGAGTTGATCTTTGCATTGTGGCCATCAAAGGTGTCTGGGACTGTTGTGTAGAAATTTCTTCCATCACCATACTTTCATCTTCATGACTTGACAGTGGTGGAAACAAAGTTGGGTTCACAGTACTTGCTAGGTTTCTAAGGGATGGACCACTTTTTCTTCTTACCTGAAATTAAAACACACATAAAAATAACTTAGTAATTGCACCCACAGTTAAATGATTATAAAACACAAAGTAGCAGTATATATATTTAAAACACACAGTAGCAGTTAATTGCACCCACAGTTAACTGAAATTAAAACACACAGTAGCAGTATGTACATTTAAATTAATTACCTGCATCTTCTGCATCTTCTGTACTGGTGGAGGTTGGTTAGTGGTAGATGAACATGTGGCTGCATTATGGCCTTCTCCACCACATCTGCTGCAGTTCACCTTTGTCTGTTGCCTCTTCACTTTTGTAGGAGCTGAAGGTCTTTTTTTCTTCTTATTTTTCCCAACTATCTCATCATTCTTTCTTCTCCTTGCCTTAGAAGGTCTCCCTGCACCCCTTCCAAAATTTTGTGGCAGTGGTGCTATGAAATGGTTATCCTCCCAAAGTTCAGTGCCATTAATGGGATACAAAGTGTTCCCATAAGCAGCCATATACTTGGACACTGTGTAGCATTCATCTACATAGTCCTCAACATTACCTCTCTGAAAATGGATGGCACTCAAAGCATGGCTGCATGGAATTCCAGACAATTCCCAAGACCTACATGAACAAACTCCATCCTTTAAGTTGACAGAGTATTGTGCACCATTGTTACACTTTATCTCAAAGTGTATGTCATCAGCCTTCACTGGTATGCAATTAGCCACTCCCTTATTGTGTAGTTCAAGAAGCTCCATTATTCTTGATCACAATTTATTCTTCCACTTTCTTGCAGCCCTATCTCTATTCTCTTGCATTTTCTTGGACACAACTACACTGAGTTGACCACTCTCACGAGTTGTGATAAATAAAAAATTAAAAATTCATCAGCAAAAATGGACAATTTTTCATATGAATAAAATACATGTCTTATGTCCCCACATGTCTGTATAAAGCCAAACATAAAACCAATGCAGGACCACCACTTTAATTCTAACATTTTAAGTATACTCTCTTGATAATAGTGTATTATTGTCACAAGAAAAAAAAAGAAAAACGAAATTTACAAAGAACACGCAAACTGGTGCGAAACAATAGAGGAAAATTAAGGAATCTTACTGTACGCAGGAGGAGAAGAGTTTGGATTCCTATTGCTTCGCAAGTATATTGAGGATGTCATCAAATCGACGTCTTAATTTCTAGGGTTCTTGATCAATTGCAGCATGAAGCATTAGGGTTTTTTTGGTCGATGTTTGGGGATTTTCGTTTTTGTTCGAATTTTGGCCGATATTTCTGTGAAAAATAAAGGAGAAAATGCGTGGATGGTGTATTTGTAGACGGTATAGCTGAGGTGTATTAATTCATCCACGTGCAGTCCGCGCTGGCATGTTTTGTAATCTCAGGCGGAGTTCCGACGAGTTTGGCCAGATTTGGGTAGAAAGACCGATTTTTCAAAACGTTTTGGCTATTATTGCCAAAATCGAAAGATGGTGGGTAAAATTGCCAACCCGTCTAAGTTACTGGCTAGTTTTTGCAATTTAGCCTAACTAATAGATTAGAGTTTCCGCTTCAATCACTCACGTGATTATTTAAAACTGACACGAGCATATATACACTATTGATAATAATTCAAAAATTCGATGGATCCATGGTTGATTTTCTTATAGAGAAATGCATTACTTAATATATTGACACTTGTCCAAAGTGTATTTATTGTAAGACATATATCAATACACTATTTGTGAATAACTGTAGATGACTCCATAAGCCCAGCCATTCGATTACTCCATATCAAAACTGTGGATCTATTATATATACATACTCCCACGCCAAGTCTAGCTGCAACTCCCTCCCACTAGCTAAGCCTCACTCTCCCACTCCCACACACCATTTATAAATTATAACTCTACAAAAACCACATGACAGATCCAAACCCGCTACTCTACCTAACCGGGTCGCCCGACCCCAATAACCCACCTCCCACGCCCTCCAAACACCTCCACACCGCGACAAATTCCCTAGACGCCACCATCGAGCACTGCATGGGCGACTTCGCTTGGGCTCAGCTCCTTCAGGCCACCCTCATCTCCCTCGCCTGGTTTTTCGACGCCCAGCAGACCTTCATCAGCGTCTTCACCGACGCCGACCCCAAGTGGACCTGCAACAACTCCTCCTCCACCTGTGCCGACCTCTGCCGCCTCCCACCTGGCAGCTGGTCCTGGGACCTCCCGCCTTCATCCTCCATCATCTCCGAGTGGTCCCTGCAGTGCTCCGGGCCTATCCTCACCGGCCTTCCCGCCTCCGCTTTCTTCCTCGGCTGCCTCGTCGGCGGCTTCGCCATGGCGGCCCTGGCTGACTCCTCCCTCGGCCGCAAAAACGCGCTCGCCCTCTCCTCCTTAATCATGTCCCTCGCCGGCGCGGCCGCCGCCTTCTCCCCCAACGTGTGGGTCTACGCGGCCCTCCGCCTCGTGAGCGGCTTCGGCCGATCCACCATCGGGACGTCCGCCCTCGTCCTCTCCACCGAGCTCGTCGGCCGGCGGTGGCGAGAGGTCGTCGGGGTTCTCGGATTCACCTTCTTCACTCTAGGCTTTCTCTCTCTTCCGGCGATCGCTTTCGCTCTCCGAGGCTCGTCGTGGCGGCTGCTCTACCTCTGGACGGGAGTCCCGTCGGTCGTGTACTCGGCCGTGATCTACTTGGTGGTGCGAGAGTCGCCGCGGTGGCTCTTCATCAGGGGCCGGCAGGAGGAGTTTGCCGAGACGCTGAGGAGCATCTCGGGCGCCGCGAACCGGGCAACGCTGACCGGGAGCTTCTTCGACCGGTGCGCGGCGGCGGAGGAGAAAGGATCGGCGGCGGAGGCCGGCGACGTGTTCTCGGCTTTGAGGGTGTTGGTGGGGAGGGGGTGGTCCGCGCGGCGGCTGGCGGCGGTGATGGTAGTGGGGTTCGGGATAGGAATGATTTATTACGGGATGCCTCTCGGTTTGGGGAACTTGTCGTTTGATCTGTATTTGAGTGTGACGCTGAATGCGCTGTCCGAGTTCCCGGCGTCCCTAGTGACGCTTCTGCTGATTAGGAGGCTGGGGAGGAGGGGTTTTGTAGTGGGGCTGGCTTTATTGAGTGGGATATGCAGCGTGGGGTGCGTGGTGGTTGAGTGGAGGGTGATGCAGGTGGGGCTTGAGCTCGTGTCGTTTTTCGGGGCGTGCACGGCTTTCGACGTCGTCCTGATTTACACGGTGGAGCTGTTCCCGACGTGCGTGAGGAACTCGGCGGTGTCGATGGTGAGGCAGGCGCTGGTGCTGGGTGGGGTGCTCAGCCCAGTGCTTGTGGCGGCGGGGAGAAAGAATGGGTTGGTGTTGTCGTACGGGGTGTTCGGAGTGACGATTGCCGCCTGCGGGCTGGCGGTGGTGCTTCTGCCGGAGACGAGGGGGAAGGTCCTTTGTGACACCATGGAGGAGGAGGAGGAGGGACGTTGGGGGGCCCACCAGGTGTATTGCGTTTGAGAATATAAGCGTACAGGAATATTATCATGTGGGCTGTGGGGAGATCTAAATTACCGTAAATTTCTTGTCAAACTCTTTTTGCCAATTTTACTTAATGTAAAAGTTTTTTTTATTTGTTTTTTTCTTCTTTTCTTCATTTGTAATGTAAAGGTNATTATTCAAGTACAAAACATTCTAATTTTAGAGTTATAAAGGTCAAAAAGAATTAACAAATACCGCGTATACAAGGGCATCGCATTGGCATGGGTGTGTGGAAATTTAAAAGGACCACCTATTAATATGGATGTTGTTCATTTGATTGAGAAAAATAAAAAACGTGGGTTTACCTTTGGCCGTTCAATGCATTGAACGATATTAATATACCTTTTCTTTTTTTGAGAAAAATAAAAAACGTGGGTTTACCTTTGGCCGTTCAATGCATTGAACGATATTAATATACCTTTTCTTTTTTTTAAATATTTAACGTATTTACTTTTTTTTGATCCATCTAGACAAAAAGTAATAATGCAAGCATAGGGATATTACCTTTTTATGTTCTCATATTATTTTGCAGGTTGACAGACATCTATTTCTCTTCACCGCTCGGGCCAGACTCACTCCGATAGACTGGATAGGCTGCACGCCACCTCATCATTTTGCACCACCCTCACTGCCGCCTGTCCAGCATCCACGCCACAGAGCTGTTGTTTGGCTGAGACCCAAGCTTCCTTGGATTAAGCCAAACACTGACGGATCTTTTGACCGACTTATCGGAGCCACCGGAGGTGAGGGTCTGATTAGGGACCACAGCGGTGCTCTTATTACTGTTTTCCATGCCTCTATTCGGGCCTCCTCAAACTACGATGCGGAGGTTTAATCCTCTCATATTCAGTTGACCCCTTGACATCTAAAATAAGCAGACTCGTATATTCAGTCGACCCCTTGTCATAAAAAAGATGCCGCCCCATCATGCATATTCGGTCAACCCCTTATCATTCAAGATTTATTTAATTACAAAGTTAAAATTACTATTTCAAATTATTTCATCAACTTCTTTCAATACACATAGATATCAGATGAAACGTCTTTGAAAAAAAAAAAGAAAAAGAAAAAAAAAACCATCGTTGTCCAATCGGACAAAATATTCATTAAGCTGAGGTGGCTAATAGTCATGGGCCTAATGTTAAGTCTCTAACGTTATCTCTATCATATCATCAAAAAGAATGTCTTTGATCATGGGAATCTAATCCTCGTCAGTAAATAATAGTGTTTGCCACTTCACTGTGCCATAACAACTAATTATTGGCACGTCATTTCAAAGAGTTCATCTGTTCATCACATACACAATTAAATTGATACTAGTACAATACCCGTGTATTACAGGAGTGTTGAATTAAAAGGATTTTGTAAAAAATATTAAATTTTTTATTTAAAAAATAAAACTAAAATAAATTAGTTTTATATTAAATATTACTTTGGGTTTTAATTAAATTATCAAATTATTTTTTTAATCATAATAATTAAGCACCCGTACATTAGATGATAATGTCAATCCGTGTTGAATTTTTTTACTTATATCATATAAAAATATCAATATTATTTATTATTACATAAGTACAGAAATATATATCTTAATTAAATAGAAATAATATGGTGATATGTATATGTATAAGTGCAGAATATATTTATTTAATATTAAACAAAATAGATTAATTTTTTTACTTAATTAGATGCCTAATACATCAAGTGTCGTATCAGTCGTGCTTCACAGTTTTTTAACTTTATATGTAATTTTAAATTTTATATAAATAATTATTTATTTTTATTATATTGACAACATACCAATTAGATTTGAAATAAATATCATTTTTAAAAGAATACATACTAATTTCTATTAATTTATAATATAATTTATAGTTTTATTTGATATAATTTAATTTAGTTTGATAAATAAATTTAAATTTTATTTATAAGGATATATATTACTGTTTTGTACTTTATATATATAAATAAATAAAAAAATACAAATGCAACACACTAATTTAGATTTTTTTTTCTTGACAATATTAACCATATTTAATGGATGTTATGGGAAACGATGGGATATAAAGAGACACTATGTATTAGATGGAGGGTTAAAAATAGAAAAATATGAACAAAATATCTATTTTTTTATTATTATAAAAATAAATATAATTTAATTATTTTATATATACAATATGGATGTCAAATCGAAGTTCATCAAAAGATGATTAATTTGATATATTATATATATAAAACCAATAAGAAATACAAAAGTTATCAACTTTTAAAATATAATTTCAATTCAATGGTTATAATAGGAAATAATATTAAAGTACAATTAATATAAATATTAATTTATATCCAAGCCTAACTCCAAAGCATGATTTTTTGGCAAATAGTATTCTGAAGCTGAGAGTTTGTCACGTAGGCTCAGCGCATTCTGAAATTATATATAAAGTCAATTCAATGGTTATAATAGAAAATAATATTAAAATACAATTAATTAATATAAATATTAATTTATATCCAAACCTAACTCCAAAGCATGATTTTTTGGCAAATAGTATTCCGAATCATGAGAGTTTGCCACATAGATTCAGCGCATTCTGAAATTATATATAGGGGGAATTGTGGAGGGAAAAATAAATCNAAGATGGAAACAAAAAAAAAAAAACAAAAGAAAATCAATAATGAATACCTAATCAAGATGCTATAATTTTGTTATTTAATCATAATTTTTAAATATTGACAATTGAAGTAACGAATAACTTTTCTTTGCAAATCTAGCACAATTCATATTTCAGCACCTATATATGTCCGGCAAACCATATCTACATGACTTATAATAGTAATTAAAAAATATTCCACATCACATCAACACCCTCTCTTTTTTCTCCTCCACTTGTTCTGCACAACAAACTAAAGGTCGTTCTTTTTAGGTAATTTTATGTTGAAATATCACTTATGATTTGTTACACATTGATTTTATAGAATAATTGGGCCTAATTTATATACTTAGTGGGCTATTTCTCTCATTATCAATTTATTTTGAGGTAGAACATCATTAAGATGCTTCTAAGTTCACCATCTTATAGTGCGTTTCACCTTGTGGGATCGCACCCTCTTTTCCCGTTCTACTATTTTACCTAAATTTTATTTTATGAAATTTGAGTTTTATTTATTGATCTTCATCATTATGAACAAGAAATGTTCAATTTACGTGTTACCCCACAACTTGTATATCCCTAAGCACTATACCACAAATCATGATTGCGTGTAACAAATCATTATAATTTCCCACCATTCATGAATCATTCAGCAAATATCAAGATCGATGATACAATTACAAACAATTAATCTCATTTATTCACGAATTCATCAATTATAAGAAAGACCAGAAAGATCGATCCACGAAAAATATTTTTAATCATTTGTAATTGAAAACATAGACCATTGAACATACTAAATATCTTCAACAATTACAAGTGTTTGACACTAGAACCAGCCATTTCATAAAATTTACACAAACACCACCAAATTCTATAAAATCATGACACTGGAAATAAGCCATTTCATAATAATCAATGACTTGGTATACATCACAGAGAAATAAAACCACCTCACTCGCTAGCCAAAAAGCTAGACATGATTAAACAAATTAATTACCTCACCGTTACCCCCCTAAAAAGAGAAAATAAATTATATATAATCAGAACTTGACTCTTCAATCTCATTACATATATATCATAAAAAAAAACAAAAAAAAAATAGATGTTATGAGCTGTCAATGTAAAATCTGTATGCCTTGTGTGTGTATACTATAATATATATTTTCCAAAAGCTATCTGATCAGTTGGATCCCGCATAACTTGGACACAACATGTTGTCGTGTGAAGAACATAAGTAATAAATCTCTTCCAAACTTGCTGTCCCATTAACACATTCTCTCAACTTCTCATAGCTCATCAAGTATTCTTGTTTAGGATTTTCCTCTGTTATAAGATCCATTTGTGGAAAGTCCTCCAGGGCCAGAGGTGGATACCCGGTCTCGTAAATCAGTCCCGTGTAATCCTGCATAAATTTTTACTATCTTTTATAACAACTAGTATTTGACCCTATGCATTTACACAGTGTAAATAGAATATTATAAGTCACATTTATACATATAGTATTAAAATTGTAAGTTATACAATGATATTATATTTTAAATATAGTGTATTATAAGTTATATTTATGCATATAATAATAAAATATAAATTAGATAATGATATTATATTTTAAAATTTGAGCGTTGGTTAAAATAAATAGTACATAACTATTTGATTGCATATGAACCACTATATTAATTACATAAAATATAATAAATAATGTAATTTTGAGAGATCGCCAATCTATTAGCTTAAAAATATTAAATTTATTATAACATTTGATTATGCGATTTTAAGGAATTTTACTATAACATTAAAATAAATTAACTTATTTAAAAATACAATCGCTAAATAAGATAAAAAAATATAATATTAATTTTAGAATAAATAACTTTAGCAAAAAGTTTACAATAATATTTTATGTTTATGTAACTTTCATATATCATTTAGTGTAAACTATAGTTATTAGTTTTAATAATAATTATTATATGATATAATAAAATAGTATAATTATTACTCCGTTAATGTAAAATGTCACGGTTTTTGTCTTAATTAACTCTTAAAAAAGTGCAATGAAATATTTTAGCTTTAATTAGATATGGTGGATTAATAATAATAATAATAATAATGATAATAATAATAGAAGATTGTAACATAAAAAGATGGTAAAGAATAACTAATATTATTAAATTTATTGTTAGTAATTAAATATAGAGAGAGATATATAAATGATAAAGTTTGTAATGGTTTTTGGAGGGAAATCAAAATAAAATTTTATTAAATGTTTTATTAAATGCTATTAGCCAACAATTATATATATATAGATAATAGTAATAATAATTAAAAATAATAATATTTAAAAGAAACAAAATTGCTCTTGCTCTTAATTAGTGTTTGAAAAATATAAAAAGCATGATTAATAAGTGAGGAAAGTCATTTTAGCCAGTCAAAAGAATTTATGGGAATTAGTGAAGAAAGATGTATGTATATATGTAGGCTTGATTAGGATTCAGTCTGGTGATTATTATCTCGTTTTACTTTTTGTTTTATGTTTTTTTTTTGCTTTCATATGGGTGCTTTAGAGAAAGATGGAAGGATTGATGGGCTTCCAAACTTTTGTGACTTTTAAATTTAAAGACATCTTCTCAAAGGGATAAAAAATATTCCGTGGACCATAAAATGGCTATTTGCCATGCCACCCTCTTTCTAAAAAGACAAAAAAACATATATACATGTAACTAAACAAAATGAAACAATTTATCACATTATAGTGTGTGTTTGTGTGTGTACCTGGATGAAATTTGATAAGTTTTGGGTATTATTGCCATGACAGTAGAACTTATCGGCCGAACTTTCGACCTCATCTGATGCGATCTGAGCCGTTGAATCTACATCTTTGGCGGCAATCGGTGTCCCTTGCGTGAGATCCGAGGATGATGCCTCGGAAGGGTTCTTGTTTATGTTTTGATTTTCCATTAGATTTTGTGACGTCTCGTGCGTGGGCCCACCACTGTAATCGTCCCACATCACTTGATCGAAGACTGCCGGCCCAAGTGGTTGTTTGTTGCTAGACTTGGTTATGACTACGTTTTTCTTGAAAACCCGGCATAACGCATATGAATCCTGTAAATAATAAATAAAAAAAAAAAAAGCGGATTTATTTATTCATTTATTAGATTTATTTAAATTACAAAGTGTAAAATATAGTGCGTACCTTGAGAGATGATCCGAAGGTCCCAGGTGTAGAGTCGATGAGTCGATATTCATGCATCACCCAATCAGTTCGAATGCCGTGGGGCGCTCTGCCCCTATAATACACCAGCGTTTTCTTCATGCCCACGGCCCGTTTTTGCGATTGGACGGCCCGATCTTTCCCAGTGGCCTTCCAATAGCCCGAACGGGTGGCCCGATTTGTCCTCGACCCGTTTGGGTATTTCCTGTCCCGTGGGCTGTAGAAGTACCACTCCATGTCCTTGCTGGGCAATAAAGATTTTTCTGCCAATATCAATTACCATTCACAATTTAATTATAAGTGCCGCCACAATATTGTTTGTACAAATTTTGTAAACGTAAATTGAATTAAAATATTCTAGGAAAATAATTGAGTACCAGGTAAATCCCATGGTTCACATTTGTAGAGGTCAACCTCTGGTATGACTTCAAGCTCAATTATCCCACCATTGATTTTCCGGTCAAGATAGTAGGCGACGAGCTCCTCGTCCGTTGGATGGAACCTAAATCCTGGGGGAAGGGTCATTGGCCCCATTTAATTTTGATGTGTTTCTTTTTTTTTTTTTTTTTTTNTTTTCTACGAGTAAATAATGTGAGATTTTGGGGGAAAGATATAATAGGAGAGACTAAAGAGAATAAATTATGTAATTGGAAAAGTCGGTGCCTGAAATGGGGCTTTGGACAATATTGGAACCTGGATTTATATATACAGCTCACTGTTGAGGATCAAAAAGCCATTAAAGTGGTCCTTGTCATCCAAACTCTTTTTTGCATAGATAATTAATTTATTTTGTGTTTCTTTTGTTTCGATTTATATTTTGTTCACACTTGACACACCACACTAACGTATTTAATAGCCTGGGTAGGATAAGGTTGGTTAGCCTAGATACGATGGGATAAAGTTGGTTAATCAACCTTATCACTCGTTTACTAAATAGGATTGAGATAAGGATATAGATGACATAGCATGAGTTGGCGCACGCGTGTATCTGTATCCTTGTTCGCAGTATAAAAAAAATCCTACCAATAGAGTGTGATAAATTTATCCTTGGGCTCAAATGCCTTTTATGTCGAAAAACAAATATGTATGTATATATATATATATAATTAATTAATTAATTTAAAATAATATTATTTAATCTAAAATAAATTTAATTTAAAAAAATATTATTTAATCTACAAAATATTAATTTAAATAATTTTATTAAATTTAAAAAATATTATTTAATATAAAATATTAATTTGATTAATTAAATAGATAGTTTAATGTACTTATCATAAATTTTTATCTACTTTGGTAAATATGGGACAATTTTCAAAGAAATTGAACCAAATCTGAGTCTGGGATAGATTGTCCTATCCCATCTTATCGGCAAAAATACACATCCACGTGTTAAACCCACAGCAAGACCAATTAAACGAGATTAAAGTTTTAAACGCAGATTTGAGGCCGCATAAAAGTTAATGTCCAAAATTACGAAACTAAAACAGAAGGAAAGAAAATCGCTGCTCAGCTGATTCTCACCGAAATCAGCTCGCGATTTTTTGGAATAAAAGAGATGCAACTAATAAGGAAGATTCCAAAACAGAAAAAATCACCTCTCTGGTATGGAAATGCGGAAATCGTGTCGAGAGGGAGTTTTCTGAATCTCGAGCTCGCAAACACTGTCATTCAAATCTCAAGTCGACATCGATCTGGGAGATTAAAGGTATATTTCGAATATTTTTCGTCTGATTTGAGGTAGCCAATGCTTTTTTCGTTGAACAGAATCTAAAAACAGGAATTCGATTTCATCAGATTGAATGTGTATTTTTTTTAGCCAATCCGTTTTCTTTTTTTTTTGGTTTTTTTTTTTTTTTTTTTTGTACTAATTGAGGTTTTTTGTGTGGCAGTTTGCAGCAAAATGTCTCCAATTATGGTGTTTTTGCACTACAATGGGGAGTGGTGTAACAACACTTACATTGATTTCGAAATTGGTGGAATTTCGGTGAATCAGACTACTTGTTTCAGAGATTTCACAAAGCAAGTTGGAGATCTACTGAAGATAAACCAAATGGAATCAATATTGAGTTTTAAGTATCAGGTACGAGATGGATATCCAGCAATTAAAATTGATGATGATCAAAGCCTTGGATTCTACATGGATTTGAAGTCAATGGAGGCTGATTACACTAAGTTTCCAGTATGTGTGATTAAGGAACAGAAAAATGCTTTGGTACCAATTCCACTCCTCATCAATGCCGGTCACAATGAAGTTGCATGGAATGAGTGTATTGTTGCTGCTTCAGACTTTGATCAGTTTGACTATGGGGCTTCAAACTCAATGAATTTTATGGATTTTGCAAGGGAAGCTGCCGAAGCCATGTCATTAGCTGCATCAAGTGTTGAAGAACAACAGACCACATATGGAGTTGTTGATTCGACATCAGGTAATGCGGTCGAAGTGATGCACAATCCATCAGTCGGGCATTCTTTTCCCAGCAAAACAAGTCTGCAGAAAATGCTTGCGATATATGCAATCAAAAACCAATTCCAATTCAAGGTAGAAAAATCGTGTCCTAAACAGTACTTCGTAAAGTGTGTATGGGATGGGTGCAACTGGTTCATTAAATCATCTAAAGTAAGACAGTCGAGTATGTTCAAAATCCGGGAAACGGTGAATGATCACAATTGTCCGTTTGAGGTCAGAACAAACAACCAACGACAAGCCACGTCAACACTTGTTAGTGAATGCATAAAGGGGAAATTCACAAACGTGAATACAAAATACAACCCTGGAGATTTATACACGATATGAAGTTGACATATGGTATCGATTTATCATACAAAAAGGCATGGAGATCAAAGCGCAAGGCTCTAGACGAGGTACAGGGAAAACCGGATGAGTCATACGAATACATTAATGAATACCTCCAAAAGCTCTGTCACTCGAATCCCGGAAGCATTGTGAATCTATGTACTACTGAAGATAAACATTTCATGTACCTGTTCATGTCTCTAAATGCTTCGATCAAGGCTTGGCCACATTGTAGGCCTATCATTGTGGTTGATGGAACGTTTCTGAAGTCTACATACGGGGGGGTTTTACTCACAGCATGTACGCAAGATGCAAATTCGCACGTACTCCCACTAGCTTTCTGCGTCGTGGACTCGGAAAACAATGAGTCATACTCTTGGTTTTTCAGCAAGTTGAAATCTGCCCTACCTAAGAGAGAGGGATTATGCATCGTTTCAGACGAACATTACAGCATTAAATACGGCATATCAAAGGTAATTATGAAAAACACCAGTATAGTTCTTCTTTTTATGGATGACCTGCAAGATAATATAAAATTAGTGTTCTTTTGAATGATTATGTTCTGTACTTTATAAAATTATTTTATATTTCACTTTACTATAGGTATATCCAGAAGCTTCACATTGTTTGTGCACTTACCATATCGCCAACAATTTGAGGAAGCACTTCAGAATGAAAACAACGGCAGTTAAGAATGCATTTATTGGAGCCTCTAGAGCATATACAAAGGAAGAGTTCAACAAGTACATGGTGGAACTGAAGAAGTTGGATCCAAGGGTACCAACACATCTTGAAACTATAGGCTTTCACAAATGGGCTCGTATCCACTGTCAAGAAAATAGATACTTCACAATGACGTCAAACGCAGCAGAAACTATAAACTCGGCTACAAAAGTGGTGCGTGAATTACCTATAACAACGTTGCTTGAATCTTTGAGATCAATACAACAAAAATGGAACGTGGCGAATCGAGAGGAGGCGAAGTGTATGTTTACTATCCTGACAAAAAAAGCAAACAATATCATTGAAGAAAATTACAACGTGGCTTCCCGTTTGTTTGTAAGTTATATTATGTTTATATTGAAATAATTTAATAGAATAAGTATTCTGTATGAAACTAAATTTGTGGATGAAACTAAATTTGTGTATATGATGACAGGTCCAGAAGGCAAGCGATCAAGTTTATAAGGTGTATAACGATGTGTATTCACATGTCGTCAATTTGGATGCCAAGACGTGCACTTGCAATCAATTTCAAATGGATGAGATACCATGTCCACATGCCATACGTGTCATCCGGTCTTTACATATTGATCCAGTGCCATTTTGCTCTGATTACTACAAGACGGCAAACTTTTTGGAGACGTATGCTGAAGCAGTTTATCCTATCGAAGGTTCGCAAACATTTGATGCTGTGGACAATAAAAAACAGAGAATGGTGCAACCACCTATAGGCAGAGCGAAATCGGGGCGTAGGCGAAACAAACGATACAAGTCTGCATTTGAGCCTCCTAAAAAGAACAAGTGTGGAAAATGCGACGAGAGGGGCCATAATGTAAAGACCTGCCCAAATCCTGCAAAAATTAGAGGAGATAACCATTGTTGAAGTTGCAGGTTTTATTTTTCAATTATTTTCAAAGTTGATGCTCTGTTGATCTAATTACAAACTGTGAATATTTTTTGAGTGCAACAGATTTGATATATTGGTTTTTATATAGGTTGCGATTGGTCCTTGACCTTGTGTTATATTGGTGGTATCGATTTTTAAACTACATTTTGAAATCGGTATGTATGTGGAGTAGTAGTTTGATATTTTGATATTAGTGTAATTGTGTATAGATTTGTATGTAATTTGATTGTTAAGATACTGTTTACATTACCCAAAGAGAAACTCAGAAAATACAAAAAGTAAACACCAAATGGACACATGAGATTCTGATAGCAACAACCATGAAAAAATCCAAAAAATAATGCAAGAACAACATCAAAACGTGCCAAAAATATTGTCAATTCAAACAACTACTAAAAATAAACCATTTATTCATAATAAAACCATCATCTTTTTCACAAAATATAAAATAGTTTAGAAATTCCACAAATAAACACATAAATTACACAAGTACAAAAAATATTGGGACCTGATAGTCATTGATAGACATGAAAAATATTACAAGTACAATACAGAAATACTACCAATATTCCTTAAAACAACATATGAATTGTAGAAAAATGTAATACAATACATAAAAACAACAAGAAATAAACCTGATAACATACAATCATTCAAAACATGTCCAACATATTCCATAACACACCATGCCCAAAAAGGAGAAACGCCAGAGTTTAGTTTGTCTACATAGTCGGACAAAAATACATGATAGAAAACAATGTCAACCAACATCACTAAACAACATCAAAATTCCTAATGCTAATTAGTAGGGGGAACTACTAGCGAACTTCGATAATTTGCCGGCAACGGACCCGGCGAATCATCATCACTCTCGGATTCTTTTTCCTGCTTCATTTTTCCATGTGTGTACAATAGGTATGCAAACCTTGACCGCTCAACATCAATGTCAAAGGTATCAGGATTGATGGGCTCATTAGAAACAAAATACTCCGCAAAAGCAGCAACAAATGCACCACAATCACTGGCAAGAATGTAAACAAGAAATATAGAAAAAATATAATTAATAGTTAAATAAAAAAGAACATATCAAAGTTGTAAACTAAATTAAAATACAACTTACCAGCATTGCTGCCGGGGCAAA